AACATAAAGCGAAGATAATTATTTACTATGTTTTGGGTCATCCTCTTAAGTAAGTAATAAGCCTCGTTGGGATTTTGGTCCTGCTGATCCGAGTCCATATTGACTTTTGTGGATCTTTCCACATCAGATCTTGGTTACAATACGTAATCAATGCATTCTCCAATAGAAATCCATCCACTAATAACTACAACCAGCAGTATTCTAAATATAAGAAGATTATTCACTCAAATGGGCTTTCCCAAGACCATTGTGAGTGAGACTGGGCCTATCATCAATGCCAATAGCACAGAATTATTGAAGTATTAAGATATTGTACGATACCACATCCGATATATTTTAATGTATCGAGCGGTAAATCGATAATTTTAGTTACTATCTATAGTTAATCTCTATTTTTCAACAAAAAAAATTAGAAACAAAAATTTAATTTTCACAAAAAATATTTCGTATTTATTTGATAAAATTAAATTAATCCTAATTATTTTACATTTTATCGTATTACTTGCATCATAGTTTATTTTCTATTTTAAATATAAAAATAAAAAAGATTTAATTTATACATTTTTAAAATGTATTATTTGATTAAATTAATTAATCCATCATAAATATTAAAAATTATTTGATAAAAATAATTTTATAAAACAAAACCTTACTAATTTTTAGCAAAGAGTAGAAATTCATCATTTTAATCATTTCTATAATATTAAACAATTATTTATTAAATAAAACACTATAATTCTTTCCAGCACCTAAGTTGAACGCTTATTCAGTGTTGTTAAAAATGACTTTACTGATAGGAGAGGATGTTTCCTTTATAAAAACTTTGAAAATGTTTTATTGTTAGAATCAAATAATATTTTATTTAGTAATTGATGTTAATTTGTAAATATTTTATATATGTATATTTTTAATATTGATTTATTTGTTAATTGTTAATAAATGATTCTCAAAAATAAATCGCAAAAGTATCGATGATTTTATGTATTGCATCGAATACATTTGTATTGGTATCGTTGGAAATGTATAAAATTTGTATAGATCTCGGTTTCGATAGATTTTAAAAGTATAGTTATCAAGTCTGATCTAATAACAATACGGCAAGGGGGAAAACATAACCACAAAATCGATTAATGTTAGATATAATGACTTAGTAAAATGCATGAATTATTTACATAAAAACATTCGGTCACTCGACAGCCAGCATGACCCAGATTTTAAAAAATTAATTAGGCTCTAATCTATATTTGTATTGCATCTTGTAAAAGGAACCCTTCTTCCAAACGTAATCTGATTATCTGTTACTTAAGAAGTTGGTTATTTAAGAGCATAACATTAATTAGCGTGATTTCGAATCTACTTTATGCTTAAAGGTAAGAAACCATCTAGTTGTTTGGAGTATAACTCTTTAGTTTGGGTGATGGAAATGAGATAGTGGGGTAGCTGCTGGGAGAATTTAAACTCTAGGCCCCCCATTGAGAAAATAAAATTTTTTAAAAGTTCGTTTATTTTTTTTGAAATAGATTTCTATACCATTTTCCATTATAAAATATTAAATTTTTTATCATTAGGGCTTTGATGAATTTAAATTTTAGACCATTTTTAATAAAAAATTATTCCCTTAAAACGTCAACCGGATTAGAGCATAGAAATTGACATATTAGCCAATGGGTATGTAACATATGTGACAGGAATAGGGATGTAAATTTCCCGGAAAACTATAATAAGGGGAAATAGGGAAACAACGGGACTTAGTTTTAAAAATTTCATATCATATCTTAGACATCTAGAATAGAGCAATTTATCTTTTGCAGAAGTTGCGTTCCCTATAAACTGGAGATTTGTTCTTAAAAAGACTAGTTTCCTAACCTTATGCATTTTTTCAAATCCTATTTCGAGATGATAAAAGAATATTTTGCATTTTATATATTTTAATATTTTATAATACTTTGGTCCTCACTAATTTTAAATTGGCGATATTTTATTTTCTATATCCTTTAAAAGTCCCTGTTTCAATTAATTTATAAGCATGGGGCTTGGCGTTGCTATAATAAATGTTATAATGCATTCCCCTATATTTGTTCACCCATCACTAATGAGGGTCAAATTTTTATTTTTATCTTACTATTTTTTTTAAATCCTTACTGTTTAACCATTTTTACTAAATATTAACAATTTATACAGAAATTGTTTCCATGTAGTACCTAATCATCCTTAGTTTAACGCGAGTGCAGAATTATACGGGGCTCCTAATTAGACAAGCTTTTATTAAATTTAAATAAAATAAATTGAAAGTAAAATAACTGATTTCAAAATAAGATCAATTTAAAAAACTATACAATTAAAAATACAATTTTATAATTGAGTTCCCAAAAAGTTACCATAATTATGTCTAAAAATTTCTATTTGAATTTTTTGGCACATATATAAAAAATTTCCGGCATCGTTTCTAAAATCCGTTTTATTGCCTAGATTTTTTTAAAAACTTATATGTTAATGGCGAAAAATGCCATTTGTGGAAGTCACTATTGGAGTGAATATGAAGTTGTTAAAATTTCTGTATTAATCTTTTTAATTTGTGCCTGTATTAGTGGATTGATATTTATGTTTGCAAGGAATGAAGAGACGCATGTGTAGTCCTAAATTAGTGATTTTCCGGCCCAAGGTATGGTTGTACCATCATCTTAAGCCATCTACTTGAGATAAATTTGTGGGTCCAAGATAGCTCAGAATGTGGGCGGCTGTTAGCCTCGATTTATTATATGGTTTATTGCTGTGTGGCGTTGGTGTCGCCCTTGACTAAATATACAATTAAGGTCGTGCCTATCCTTTGAATCAAGCATGGCTAGATAATAAGATATCTCTTATATGAAAAGTAAATCAATTATTGATATAAAAAAGTCAATAATCGATATCAAAATGTTAATAAATCAGATATTTTTATCAATTTTATTTCACTAAACATGAAAAATATTTAGGAATATATAATGTTCTATATCCATTCAAGACAATGTGCAAAATTTTTAAAGAATTCAAAAAGTTACAAAACTTTCAAAGGTTACATAGCTTACAAAACATAACTTTCAGAATATATCTTTCAAAAATTTTAATAAAATCGTATTTAAATTTTTGAAATTTTCCAGAATTATATTTTGGAACGTTTTTTTATATTTAAAAAAGGTTCATTTCCTTTTTTGATAAAGTTTCAAAATTTTGCAAATTCGTATTTTGGACACAATCTAATCAGAATATAAAGATCAAATCATATAATTCATTATAATTATTCCTTAGATTGTTCATTTTTTACTTGAAATATTAATTTATAAAGTTTTATGTCCATGAAAATTTTATAGAAGAGCTAAAAGCAAGTTTTTAAAGATTACTATTATAGTTTCTTTAACATATGAAAGGTGAATTTTTAAAAATGCTCTTGGAAAAAATTAATAAGGCATGACGATTATATATAAATAAAATAATCTAATTTTTTTTTATAAAGGAGCGTAAAAAGTAGCAGAATCTCTTTTGAAAATAGTGTGGTGGCGTGCTACTTTCAAAAGTAGCGTCAACATTGCATAGAACTGATTGAGATGCCAAAATTTATTTTTATTTCATTAAAACTCGTATAGTAGAATTTTTGTTCTAATGGCATTGATCACCGTTCCGAGGAACTAATTTTGGGAAATTAGTTACAAAAAGAATGGTATGCGGTTGGTATCAAAATTTTTCAACGATTCAATAAGTTTCTGGTTGGTAGAGAACATTTGTGTTAATAATATGTCTCAAATTTTATTTAATTTTGAGAAAATTCATATTTGTTTATGATTTTTATTTAAAATGTCCCAAAGACGAAGCAGACACACCATATGTAAGGCTTTTGAAAGTTGTGTGCTAATATGAATACTGATGGCTAGAAAATGATCCCCTTACTTTCAGATTAATAATGGTAAAATACATCCTTGTGTATTCATGAGGGCTATAAAATCATCACATGAGAAACGTGTTTGCCCATAATGAAGATAAACCCGTATACCCCGTAGTGATTGTTTTTGCGTAGAAAATTTGGTAAATTTCTACTAATAAGACTTTATGTAGGGAATTTTAAGGATCGAGTTAGACAAGAATTAAGGATTTAAGTGGTAATAAAATAATAATAGTTTATCACAATTTATCAGTATATATATATATATTCGATAAAAGTTAATTTTATATAAAAAAACATTTGAATATTATTGCAACAAGAAAATAAATTATATTAAATTTTAGTATATACTAATATTTAATAAAAAGAAAGTTAATCTAAAAATTTCAATTATGTTAACTTAGAGCCGCAAAACAATATACAAAAAGATAAATATGTAATATTACTACAGTTTAATTACAAAAAACTATTGGTATTTCATTCGGTTACAAACCCAGTGTCCTAAACATAAATGCCGATCGATGTGCAAGATCATAATTATATTTCTCTACCAAACTTCAGATGCAAAATTAATGATTTGAGACACGTCCGAAATCACACTACCGTAGAGAGATCTTGGCTAAACCCCCGCTCTCCCAGGTCTTAATTTAACATTTCATATGTCTTATAATAAGCCTATTGATGCTATTACCACCAAAATATAACTATATGTTTCTTTAAAAATTCGATATCAAGTTTATTTGTTTTAGATATATATATTTCGATTACGATTTTCGTTTTACAAAATTATAGAGGCATTAACGTCCCTTTTTAAAAAAGCTTGATTCCACTTCAGTTTTTTAAAGAGCACTGCTCCTCTGATTTTAATTAAGTTAATTATAAATTAAAAATTATGCAAATGATGTACAAACTTTTTTAAATCAATATATCTAAAAAAATAATGTTTTAATAATAAAGTAATCTTGTTTAATTACGATATATTATTTTTTATAAACTTATTTATAATATATTTAACTTTAAGTGATTTATAATTTTAGTTACTTGTAAATATTTATTGATAATAAAAATATTTTAATAATTTTACCCATCATCAGCCACGCTGCAAAACAAATGGTTGTCAGATATGAATTGAACTCCTCTTACGCCATGACTATTCGGCCCCGAAGCAAAAATTGGTCTGGGAGGAGGAAATTTATGCCTAATAGATCAATATAATAATATAGCCAATATTTTATAGAACTATTCATAGATATAAATTCCAAAGTAGCTTGATCTCTACCATACCAGAATTGGTTTCCTTATACAGTATATGGCTTAGAGATCTTCAAAAGGCCCGGCCCCCCGGCCCGAACGGGCTTCGGGCCAGGCCTAATTCTATTTAAATAATCGGGTTCGGGCCGGGCCTAATATTTTTAAAAAAATTTAGGGCCGGGTCGGGTCGGACCTTAGAAATTTTATTAAATATATCTAAATTTATCAATTTTATATTGAATTTTTTATGTAAAATAAAAAATTTTGATTTAATTTATTGAAACTAAACGCTATATAACATATGTCTTTTATTTTAAGTAATTATAAAAATTAATTTCTATATTTAAATAAATTCAACCCTGGCCGGGCCGGTAAATTTTTTTAAAATAAATTTTGGGTTCGGGCCGGGCTTGAAAAATTAGGCCCGATGCAGATCACTAATATGGCTATTATAATCGAAGAATAGTAAATATGTATTTTAATGATATATTTATTTATAACCCAAATTTTCTGAGAGCCTGGAAGGTATAAGGGTCCCATAAAATAACATATGAATCGAGGGAAGCCGTGATTAGCAAAGCTCCATCGGAAGAATGATCGCAGTCAACAATTTCGTTCAAATGACCGCTCAAGGATTTGATCATAGAATACTCTCTTTCGGCGTATAAAGAGTTCCAGATATAGATCTAAAGTGTTGATAGTAAATAGATTTTTTTGAAAAAAAAGCTAGAAAATTACTATTAATTTTTTGAAAAACAGTATTACTTACTCACTATCCTGGATATTTGCCTACCTTTTATTTTTAATAGGGCTGTGCCGATTCACATATTTTTCACCAATCCGATCCGATATTGGTCCAAACCCGATCCGATATTTATATTGACCACCCCCCTTTTAACCAAATGTAAAAATAATATTTTTTATGCAAAAAATCGAATTATGCTCTCATTCTTTTTGTATTAGCTCTTCGACTGCCGTTTGATGGAATGGCTTTAAATGTTTATGGATATTGGTGTTTTTGTTCAATTTATTACTAGTTTTCGTTTATTGTAAAAAGTTGTATTTTTTTATTTAAATGCCAATTTAAAAACAATAAATAGTAAATAAGGATTATTATATTTTGGGAACTTAATTTTTTTTAGCGATTTATCATTCCTCGATTTTATGATTCTTAGATTTTATGATTCTTGTTTTTTTTGTTAATTCAATTTTAAGGATTTTAGAAGAATTATATTTTTATGGACTTTAATTTTTATTGTATTTGAATAAAAACTTTGATGAAAAATTGTGTGTGAATTAATTAAAAAATTATAAAACACTAGATAAGAAAATTAAGTGAAGACTAAGGAAAAAATTAGTTATAAATAGTAGATAAGCGAAGACTGTTAAACCCGTGAAATTAGAATTACGCAGAAAGGTATTTGCAAAATTATTTTTGTCTTTTGTAAAATATTTCCATAATTTAGATACCATATAAAAAAAAACTCTTTTATTTAATATAAATAATAAAATTGGCGTTATTATTTTAAAAATTTTTAAATAAATAAAACGTTGGGTGTTCCTTTCTATTTTAATAAAAAAACTTTTAATAAAAAATAAATAAAATTTAGGGAGTAGTGTGCATTTGCATGGTTTAAAAAAAAATTATTTAGAAAATATTAAACATAAAATAACAAAAAAGAGAAAAAGATCGGATAGGTGGATATCGGTCCGATCCGATATTTAATATCGGCACCGCCTTAATTTTTAACTATATTTTTTTTAAATTGCAATCTTTAAAGATTTTATATAAGATTTTTAAAACTAAGGGAAAAATTATTCAATACTTATTTTTTTTTTATCATTGTGTTTATAAAATCTTGGTCAGGGATGGGCAACCTTGGCAAAATATTTTTCGGACTAGGCCAAAAACCTTTTTAAAATTCTTGACGGGCTAGGCCGAGTTTGTTGATCTCTATGAAAATATATTGAACATTTCCGGCAAAGTCAGATTTTAATTTTAAAAAACGAGCAAATAAATGATTTGATAAATATCAGAGCAAGTCAGACATTTAATTTTTCAGGCTCCCTTCCCATCGTCTCTTAGTATCTTTTCCATTTAAAAGTTAAAAATAATTCTTCTTATTTTACACTCTCGCATGATGCCAATTTTAAAATAAATGCTTTTAGTCGTTTTTTAATCGTAAGATTGGCTAAAATTTTGTTGCTAATTTTTTATTTATTCTGGTTAACGCACTCAAAGGCACTAATGAAGCACAAATTGGTATAGATTTTCGAATTAGTACTTCCAATTATTCACTCAAGTTTAACGGAGATGATGTAAATATTTTACATGTTTTAAAAAGGCAAAATAAAAATAACCGCGGGAATAGTGTTGTTAAAAGTCGAGTTCATCAGACTCCGACTCAGAGTCTCGAGTCGTTAGTTGAAAATGTCAACTAACTCAAACTCAAGTGGTGAACTCGAGTTATGAACTCAAGTCGACTCAAGTTCATAAAAGATTTATTATTATTAATTAGATATTTTTTGTATTTTACACCTTTTTTTAGACTTTCATTAGTCGTGAATACAAATTAAATTATATAGTTGAGTCGACTAGAGGACGAATAGTTCTATGAACTTGAGTCGTCAATTTGAGTTGACTAGAGGACGAATATTTCAAATTAGTTATTATTATTTAAGATATTTGTTCTCTTATTTACATTTTTTTACTTTAGACATCCAATTTAAGTCGTGAATACAAATTATATAGTTGAGTCGACTAGAGCACGAATATTTCTAACTTGAGCTGTCAACTTGAGCTGTCAACTTGAGTCGACTAGAGGACGAATATTTCAAATTAGTTATTATTAATTAAGATATTTGTTCTGTTATTTACTTTTTACTTTAGACTTCCAACTTGAGTCGTAAATATTAATTATATAGTTGAGTCGACTAGAGGATGAATAGTTCTATGAACTTGAGCCAACTTAAGGACGGAGATTTTAAATTAGTTATTATTAATTTATAAAACATTTTTCTTTAACTTTAAACTTCCAACTTGAGTCGTTATACGAGTTATATACTTAAATCGACTAGAAGACGAATAGTTGTGTCGTTTTTTCGACTCAAACGGGTCGTTTTTTACGACTTCAACCCAAAGTTTTGGTCGTTTTATTCAATCCGATCCAAAATATGGGTCGTTTTTTAAAGGACGATCTAAAATTTGGTTTGCTTTTTTTCCCGCCTATTATCCTAATCATTTTTTTCGACCAAGACTTCTAGTGTTAACTCCAATAAATATAATAATAACATTTAGTAGATATTAAAATTATGGGAGGGTAAGTTATTTATAGCTTCTTTTAAATATATTAATGCACTGGCATTTGTCATCGTTATTTTTTTAAATAGTGATTATGTACCATAAAAAAGTGACAATTGTCATATTCGTTATTTTTGAATTTTTAAGGTAAATGGGTAAAAATATACATAGTAAACATGTTAAATTAAAATTTCAGTGAAGGTGTACCATAGAATAATGACAATTGTTAAAATTATTTTTAAATTTTTTTAAAGCAAATGGGTAAAAATATATATTGTAAACATGTTAAATTAAATTTCAGTGAATATGTACCGTAGAAAGATGACAATTGATTTTAAAAAGTGCGAGTGGACCTGTTAAAGAATTTAAATGAGGCATTTTGATGAAATAAATAGTAAAGGTTTCTGAAAATGCCTTGGAAAAACTGGCACAATTCGCAAATATATTGAGCGTTAAATTACATAACGAATTGTGTTCATTTACCAGTATATTCAAAGATTTAATAGCAGCATTAAATGAAATGGATGATGATATCATATGTACAAGTGAGGAGTTAAATGAAGAAGATGGAATATCACAATATGATTTGATAATAAATGTAATAGGTGTTTAATAGGCGTGTATGAATCATTACAAGTTACAATATGCACAAAAGTGCATATATTAATTTATTTTTGACATATGAATACATTTTAATTTTGTCATTTGAAGAGGTAATTGCGAGAGAACATTTAGTAAATTAAAAAATAATAAAAAATAGGCTGAGCTAATATAGACCAAGAAAAATTTGACGCGTTTTTAATTAAAATTTAAAAAATTTATAATGCATTTAAAAAAATGTTAAATTTTTTTTTTAAATTCTCATTTTCCCACTTAAACTTGGGTCCAAAACATAAAAAAATTATATTCGATTCATAACTTTGACATTAATCTTCAATAAAGTTCAAGAACTCTTATTATTAAAAAAATTATATCAAAAATATTTTTTTTAAAATTTTATCAGAATGTTTTTACAATAATTATGGAAAGTTATTTAACTACTATATAAGAATGTTTTTTCACATTATGGAAATGTGATACAACAATAACAAATCATATTATTACTGTATATGTGCAATTTTAATATATGATTTATTTACTATTCTTTTTTATTAAAAAATATAAATTGTCTGAACATATCAAAAATTTATTTATAAATTTAAATAAATATTGTTAATGGTAAAAAAACAAGAAAATTTTACTTTTTTATAACTTTTTTAAAATAACCCAAAATTTATTTTGAAAGATTTATTCTGGGAGAAAGAAACAAGAGGAGGGATTGGTTATTATTAAGGTGTGGGGGAGGGGGGGGGGGGGTTACTAATAATTTTTAATTATTTTATTTCTTATATTTTATTAATAATTTTTTTTTGCACAATCATATTTAAAATTATTTTACATGATAACATGTGATTTTATAAATAAAACAATAAAATATGTTACTTTTTTTATTATAACTAAATAAAAATATAAAATAAAATACAAATCTTATTTATTTTAAAAGTACCATGAAAACAAATAATATATTTATAAAAAGAGGAAAAAAGGAGTGTTTCGAAGTAACAAAAAATAAATTCAAATTATATTAATTATTGAAAAAAAAAATTCAGGCATAAATTATCTTCGTGAGATAAAAAATTATCTCGATAAAAAAAAGGTCTACATTAAAAGCAATGTTTGTCTTGACATAGCTCTGTTCATCTAAAAAAAGTGGGCAATATACATCACTGTATGAATAGGTTTTAAGCAGTAACACCCCCCCCCCCTCGCGATTTTTATAATAAACATCTTGTTGGTATAAAGTGTATCGCTATATTATATTAAATTGTTTTAAATCACGATCTTCCCCATTCCCAATAATTTATTCGTTCTCTAGTCGACATAAGTATATAACTCCTGTTCACGACTCAAGTTGGAAGTCTAAAGTAAAAAATAAAAAAAACAGAACAAATGTTTTATTAATTAGTAATAACTAACTTCACATAGAACTATTCGTCCTCTAATCGACTAGTATATTATATTTCGTATAACGACTCAAGTTGGAAATCTAAATTTAAAAATAAAAAACAAATGTTTTATTAATAATAATTAATTTAAAATCTTCGTCCTTTAGTACTCAAGTTCATGGAACTATTCATCCACTAGTCGACGAGTCAAGTTCATATTCGTCCTCTAGTCGGCGACTCAAGTTCATAGAACTATTCGTCCTCTAGTCGACTCAAGTTGACCTGAATTCATAACTAGAGTCAGTTTTGGGTCGAAATTTCGGCTAAGTCGACTAGACTTAGTCGATTAACAACACTACACGGGAAGATCAGAATTTTTTATTATGGACCAGGCCAAAACTTGGGTAAAAAAAGAGTTAGGGAGCGAAGCCTTTAAAAAAATTATGTACCACCCCCCCCCCCCTTCAATCCATTGGATAAATTCTTGCTATGGCAGTGATATGAGGTGAGTGTAAATTTAGAAGGGCCTAAAATATTCTTCATAAGCAATTCAATTTATAAAAATATCAATAAATCTCGCAAAAATGATAAAGTTAAGATGTATATCGTGTGAATTTACATATATATAAGTAATTATAATAAAGTAAAATTAAAAAATTGGCCAGATTGTGAAGAAAGTCAATTTTATAATATATTATTTCTTTTCTCTTGCTATGTCATTTATTTGGTTTAGAGGATTTCATTTAAATGGGGCTGTCTCCTACTTAAACAAAATAGAGCTAATGATTATGGTGCTTTCGTATTCAAGGTCATAATTTTAGGTCTATATGAAAGCGTCTAATATAATTATGTTTTACCTAATGGATTGTATCTTTTACAAATTTAAAAAAAACTAAAACCAAGAGAAGGCCTATATCAATATTTGGTAAAATAATATATATACAATAGTCTTTGTTATAAAACATTTTGTGATTGTGTTATGACATAAATAGATTGCAAGATTTAACTAGCTAATTAAAAAATGTTTAAAATGATTTATATAAAATAATATGTAAGCCAAAAAAGTTATCCAAATTGGTAATATCAAGCGATGTAGAAAAAAAAGGAAACCAAAAATTTGGATTGCAAGCAAATTAATTGGTAAATGTTCATAGGTCAGTTAAGATTTTTAAAAAACAATTAGTTTCAATATTAATATAATAACTTGGTCTCCTGCTGCAGCCGAATTAAAAGTCTGCAAAAGGGCAATTTTTAAGAATAACGAAGGAAGAAGGGTGGGGGCAAATTTTTGCTTTAAATGACCGGCGGTTGAATTTTTCAAAACATGGACAGGGGGGTCAAAAAATTTACAACAATGGACGAGATATTGCAGACTTATAAGTCGAATGAGCCAAATTGAACTGCAATCTGATTAGGGAGATTAAGGGGTTAGGTCAAGTTGATTTTTTTAAAATTCGAATGACTCCTATTTATAAATGTCGAATAATGTGCAAAAAAATTAAAAAGTGGTCTCTATTTTCGGGTTTTAAATAAGTATCGGCGAGAAACAAATTTTCCAAACTAGATGTTAATTTGAAAAAATATTCGGAATAATGACTTTATTAGATCCTCCAACACTGACGATCCTTTCAGAATTAGGAGACCAACTGATAGCCAAGACGCGGGTCTGGTACGGAGAGACATCGATGGTGGGCGTCATGTTTCCGTCTTGTTTAAGGTTCCAAACCTTCATGGTTCGATCTGAGGAACCAGATAAGAGTATGAGGGAAGAAGGATTAGGGCAAAAGACTAAACTGTTTACAGTACTTTTGTGGTCATATAGGATGAGCATCAAACGGCCTTTATAATTTATTTATTTAGTTGATATGTAAGATGTTTTTACTATTGTTTAATAGACAATCAAAGAAAATTAAGTTACATACAACAAAATTACGGAGAGATAAAATAATTCTCGTTGAGGCAATGAAGTTAAATGCCTCTTAAACATGCATGGTAAAGGCCTAGCTAAGAGGGTATATATGTTGACATTAATATCCTCTTTGGCAAAAAATATTTGTTTCTTTCCTTCTTTTTGTTTATTTCTTTAGTATCTTTCTAGCTGTCTCATAGTATAATGATGATAATAAATATAATATAATGTATAATAGTAATATTGGACAAATATATAATTTACAAATAATCTATTGACCTTAATTAGCGGTATAAAACAAATTTATAAATAATATAAAATTTTCGTTTTTTATAATTCAATAAACAATTCCTAGCTTACTAAATCAGGAAACGGAGTGAACCCAAACTTTATATCGGAATTAACCTTTATAATTTTCTGAACTGTAAACGAACATTTTATACCAAATTGTAAAAGGCGAACCTAAAGTATTATATTTTTTGAAACGTTTTAAAACTGTTTTGTTATATACGTGGTGAATTCCATATCTCAACTAAGTTTTCAATCCGACCCTCTCAGAATTTTTTTTAAATTGTGTATATTGGTAGTATATATTATAAATAAGAAGAAAAATTTTTTTAATTCCTTACATCACTTACTCGCTAAGATATGGCGGTTTGATGAGCGAAAAAAATGGTACATTTTTGAGAAAATGCACTTAATTTATTTTGAATCTCAAGAAAAGACTATGTTATAGCAATATCCCTTGGTAAAAAAATCCGCGCCATCACTGGTGACCCACAGGAAGGCTTCTATCTCAGACAGCGCATATCTATTTATATATGCAAATCTAACTGCATTGCCATCCACGGCTCTCTTTCTTGACCTCCTCCACCCAACATACAATTTACTCTACTAATTTTTTTTTTTATTATACAGTTTTTTATATAGATTTTAATTTACAAATAGTTTACATGATATTTTTAATATATATTTTTAAATTACGTATATATGTTTTACTTTTAACGTTCAATGTATTATTTTAAAATTGATTTTTAAATAAATAGTGTTAATCTTTAAAAAAAAAAGTTTAGATTTTATTATATAACTTAATAATAGATCTCTATTGATATATACATGATTGATATATACATGAATGTGAATGAAACCCGATTAATACCAAAAACAGTAAGTAAAAACCGGAAATGGACATAGAAAAATGGTATGTTTATATTTATACAAAATTCTAGACTGGAATGAACGTGGACTAGGAGTTATGACCCTTTATATGTCTAAAATGGATCAAATTTAACAAAAATATTAACATATTTAAATTTAATTGTTACTTACGTAATTTTGGTTACGTTACAAAATAATTCTAAAAATATTTAAAACTTTATTTGGCTAAATAATTTCTATAATTTTATATGTAATACAATAAATTTATAATTTTATATAAATTTTTTTTAATATATCATATATTATCAGCTTTCATTAATTTTTTTCTAGGGGGAATAAAAGAATAAACATTTTGTGTTCTAGAAATACGTTTAGTTGTCAAAAATCTGTTTTCAAGATGATTTTTTCATACTTATATATTCATAATTGGTCATTGCTCACAAACATATAATTTATCCCCCTGATATTATTTATTGCATAGTTATATAAATCCATTGTTGTCAATATATGATCAATGTTGCAAGCTTACTCGAGCTGCTAACCGTTTAGTAACGCTCCCACCACTGTTGCAGGGATTTCAGGTGCGATTGCAGAAAAATGTCACTCTGTCCATATCGCAAAATCATTTTCATGATTGTAGAGGTTAATGAAGTTTTTTTAAATTTATATTGGGTAACTGCCCTTCAGAAAAATAATTAATTTTGGCTATTCTACCAAATCTTTCTTTTAAAAATAAGATCAATTTTGTTTGAAATAAATAAAATCCACACGCGTTGTGCTTCAAACAATCTGATATAACAACAAAATACACGGTAATAAATCATGAAAAGATGAATAGTGGCCTGATTTTGGTTCAATTGAGTCCTTGTGATTGGTTGTACACTACAAATGTATAATTTTCTAAAAGGTCAGCAATAACAAAGAATTAGCAAACATATAAACTGGATTTTAATGAGTTTTAAAATAAGGATTATTGTGAAGATAAGAATGAGATCAAATTATTTTTCAATTAAATAATCTAAAATTGGAGCAATCAGCGTTTCAAGAAATGTTATATAATTTGAACTCGCGTCAAATAATAAATTAAGTCTTTTTTAAAAATTTTTTGATTTAGACTAAAATAAAATATTTAAAATTATTTGCTAAAATTTAACCAAAATATTAAATAAAACACATACCACTACCCCCCCCCCCCTTACTCAAATATTTTTTTAAAAAGTAATAAAGTAAGGGCCTCATTTAGACTAGACCCACGTTCATTCTAGTCCAGGATTTAGTATAAATATAATGTAGTCTGGTATATATATATATATATATATATACAAAAAAAATTGAAAAAAATGTCTTTCTTGACTAAGCCATACATATAAGGGGAAATAAAACTATTTATCCACCTTTAACTGAAACTAGATTGAAAAGAGAGCTCTATTAAAATATTAAAAAAAATTTAAAAAATCCAATAACAAACAATGACTCTCAATATACTCGAGAAATCTTGACATTTATATCTTTAATATAATATATATTTTTAAAAACAATACCTGAGGGAACGTGCCATACTTTGATTTGCCCGTGTGCTAAACCTGTCGCCAGTATACAATCTTCTTTGGAAAAGTCAAATCGGCTTTGAACATCGACCTCTTAAATGTTAAAAATTTTAGAATGTGTAAAACGTAGTCCTAGATATACTAAAATTTTTATGGTCAAAACTTGTCTTCATATTTATTTTGCATCTTTTAACATAGGAAGTCATTAGTAAAGGTCAATGGTCCGATTCTATAGGTATGGTCCATTCTTAACTATCTTAAGTATTATTAAATGGCTATATATTGAACGTAGTAGAGTTTTTTTTAGCATAATACAAACTATTCTTACTTAATATTTTATTTGTTATTTAGAGTTTTAATTAATAGAGAATGACCAACCTTCATGAAAACCAAAAATTTATCATGATAATCTATATTTAGGGAGCTTTAAGCCCGGTTAGGAACCTGGGCCAAAATTTTAATGATTTTAAAAATAGGGTCAGGCTTTAAAATCCATGTCGATTATTATAAAATACATATTAATTATATCAACTAATCAGTTGTAAAATCTTATAATGTTCAGTTACTGTTCATATTTTTAATTTTCTTTTGAAATAATTTGCAAAATACAACAAAAATTATTCAAATTAACGAAATTTTAATAATTAGCAGAACCAAAAATTTCGACTATTGCACTCCTCGGCTATATTTACAGTTCAAATAAATTGTATTAAATGCGTGCAACTCAAAGTTAAATTTATGATCAACAAGTAATTTAAAATAATTTTATTTTAGTTTAAATAAGAATTTAAAGTATATTATGTCATTTAACCATTCTGAATGAAAAAATAGCGAAGAGATCTGATGTAACACTACATTCACAGTTAGCGTAAATCCGCTGCGAAAAATACAAAAATACTGCGTATTTTGTAAAATTCGAGCTAACTATAAACGGAGAGGTAAACAAACAATTCCCAAAGCAGGGGATATTGTCACAAAAAAAAGAAATAGTCATTTTAATAAAACAATACCAGCTATCGTGTATGAATTCTTGCCTAAAAACAGAATAGATATTTTTACCCCATTAAGCCCTCTGATTCAGTTTCAAGCATTATAAAATAATGGCATTAATTAGCAATCGTTTATTCATTGTAATAAATTTTTTATACATTTGCGCAAGACCTAAAGGGGGCATTTGTTGCTTTTCAGTTGTATTTATTTAATTATGTTATAACATTTTACCATAATTTTAAAACTATTCATGTAAAATAACAAAATTTATAAAGAAAACAAATATAACAAGTTATTGATAATTAAAAAAATGTAGGTTATTAAATTTCTAAATCATACTCATATGCTAAAATATTTAATAATTTTAGTTCACAATATTCATAAATTCAAAGAAGGCATTATCAAACGCCATGCAAATAAAAAATATTGTACCAAAACCAAATAAACAAAGATAATATCTTATTTTATTTCATAAATTTATTCTTATTTTGTATAAGTTTATGTATTTTACCCATGATTTTGATGATTAAAAATAAAAAAACAACACTAATGATGGTAAATTCCAGAGATGTGAACTCTTCAACATAAAAAAGGGTCTAGGTCCGGGTTCAGTAATAAGATTTATAAAAATGTTCAGGTCCGGGTTTGGAGAAAATATAGAAATATTGACTCAAAATAACTCAATTTTTTACTCTATATAAATCACAGGCATTATAAGTAAAAAAAAATTAAATAATTTATATTTTAAATGTTTATATAATCATACTTAATAGAATTTATAGTAAAATATTACTAACTACACTACAAAACAAGCGTATCAGGGATTTTGTTAAGGGTGTGTAGAGGCACTATTAGGTGGGCTTTCCTCCATAAATTTTAAGGAGATTTTTAGGTCCACTTATTGTGAGTCTTTGGCTATATTAAATTTCTATAAAATTAATTTTGAGAAAAATTTTTTGTTTAAAAAAATTTGAAAAGTAAGTCCTTATACTAATTTTCTTCAAATTCATCTTTATTGTGTTATATGTATATCAAATTTTTATTATTTTAAATGATATTTAAGAAAACAGACAAATTTGCGAGGGTGAGACTTACCCATTCTTGGTTAGACGCCTGCTACAAAATTCCCATTTCACTTTTAAAAATTGAGATAAGACAAATTAGGCAACATATTTCTATTATATAGCATATTACTATAATTATCATTTATAACTTAATTTTATTGCCTAATTATAATATTCACAATATTTTACTTTCTAAAATTGATATAAAACAATATATTACCTATAAAATTGAAATATAAAAATCAATAAATTTTGAAAAATGTGATAAAAAAATGATTTATTATTTTTAAAAAATTTTTATATTTTTTTTACACCTGAACCCTCTACTTTAAAAAAGGTCCGAGGTTGGATCCAGCAAAAATACGAGGGTTCTGGAGGGTCAGAATCCGGGTTCATATCCCTGGTATATTCAATTCATATAAAAGAGTTAATAAAATTTTATTGAAAAGATCAGGTACCCGTAATCAATCTGAGTGGGTAAATAAATAAAAATTTGGATCCAGTATATTTGGTTAAAAAATTGGATCTATTGCGTTTCTAATATATTCTATATTTAAGTTGCCTACCATTAAAGCTACTTTGTAAAAATAAGTAATGCACTATTATCTTCTTTATATAAAAAAAATTTAATATATATTTTATTTTTTATATATCTAATCTATGTCCATAACATTTAAATTTAAACAAGTAAAAAAATATTGGTATAAAAATTTGACTAAAAATCGAAAATAAATGCTTTATTTATTTTATATTACATTTTTTTAAATATCTATACTATCATCCCCAAGCAGAATTGCCATGTCTCCCCCCATCAGTGGGAGTCTCCCACAATTTTTTAGTTTACCCACATACATCTCACTCCCACAAAACTCCCACAATTAGAAATCTCCCACAAAAAGCTCCAACAATTTTTTAATTTCTCCCACAATTTTTTTTTTAGCATTTTAATGCTTTTAATATATAAATAATAATTTTGAGAGACAGTATTTGATTATTTTTATATTTTTAAAATAAATTTTAAATATTTATTCGAAAAATATGTCTAGTTCTTTTATTTTATTTTTCCGCTCTAAAATATATTTTTTATAAAATTCTCCAATTCTCCACTCGACATTTTCAAAATTATCATGTAGTTCAACATTCACAGAGCTATCTGTCATCACAATGTGGGTCGAATCTTTTCCCCATAATATTTAACGACTCCAAAATAAGTGCTAACTTTACTTGTGGTAGGACAAAAATGAGCAAGGCTATCACAAATGTGTTAGGACCTGAATCCAAGAGGTCAATTCTAAACGATTTGAAAGAAGGACAACAATATGCTATTTTAACAGATGCATCAAATAAGGGAAATATTAAAACATTTCCCCTGATCCTTCCCTATTTCAACAAGAATAAGGGCATTTCTATAAAACTATTGAAATTTTTTCATCCGATAGTGAAAAATCCAACGATATAGCTAACCACATAATGGTAAATATAGCTGATTCAGGGTTATCAATGAGTTGCATGTCAGCTTTCTGCGCTGATAATGCCTCTGTTAATTTTGACAAAAATCAAAGTGTATTTACCGAATTGAGGCAGCACAATAATGAATTAATACCAATTGGCTGTATATGCCATATACTGCATAATTCTTGCAAGAAGGCAATGAATGTACTATCTGTAGATGTCGAAGTAATTGTGATGAAATGTTTTAACGAATTTAGTTCATCAACTAAAAGAGTCACTGAATTAAAAGAATTGGTGGAGTGGTCTGATTTGGAATGGTGTGAGTTGTTGCGATATGTACCTATCAGGTGGTTATCATTAATACCTGCCATCGAGAGAATTTTAAAATTTTACGAACCCTTAAAGAAATACTTCTTAAATAAAGATTTTAAAAGCTGTCCTAAAATTTTGAAAAATTTTTTTGAAGATGAAATGTCGGAAGCATATTTGGGATTAGTTTCACATGTAGGAAATCTACTTCATGTAGTTAATATTCAGTTGCAATCAGAAGATTCTTTATTGATAAAGATTCACAAAATCATGCTACAGTTCTGTTCATCTCTACAGTTAAAAATAGATAATAAATTTTATGGCGCTATTGCTAAAAATATTATATTAAAATGTTCAAATATTACTATAATTAACGTATTTTTAAATGAAGCAAATATTTTTATTAAGACAATTTTGGAATATTTACAATCAAGATTTGATTTTAATAACTTTATTTACAAGTGTATAAATATTTTGACCTTGGAACAGAAACCATCATTTGATGGTTTTTGTAATTTAATAAATATATTAAAATTACCGATAGACATTGAAGCCTTGTTTGAAGAGATTGTAATTTTTTCCATTTTTTATGATTCGCCAGAATACTTAAAGTTAGATGGTCTAAAAGCAGAGGAGAAATGGGTGGAATTTTTTCGTAATAACGATAAATCCCCATGCTTGGGAAAAATTTGCGAGTATGTTTTCTCCTTACCTCATTCTAATGCCTCATCGAAGCGCATTTTTAGCCTGATGAGGACTGCCTGGAGAAAGGAGAGAAATCGAATTGCTTTAACAACATTAGAGGCCGAGTTAATGGTTAAACAAAATTATAAAATGTCATGCCAGGAATTTTATAAATATCTTAATAACGACGGTAAACGTTTAGTTCCATTATTTAAATCTCAAATATAATATAATTAATAACTATTTGACCTTCTATATTTTATAAAATCTTATTTATACATTTGCATAAAATCAAATAAATTTATTTTTTACATTGTAAAATTAATATTTTGAATATTTTGGCAAATCATAAAAATAAAGAACCATTACAATCTCCTCAAACATGACATCATATTAAATCTTATTAATAATTATCCAATAATAGTAATAATATTCTTACTTTGGTATTTCTGCAGCATAATTTAGTGAACCTTTATTAAATTATATTCTTCTGATTGCAACTGCATATTAACAGCATATAGTAGATTTCCCATATGTAAAATTCCAAAATATACTTCTGCCATTTATTTTTGAAAATTTTTTTCAAAATTTTAG